AAAAAAAAAAAAAAAAAAAAAAAGAAAGAAAGAAAGAAAGTTAGCTGTAAATGTAAAGGGTAAACAACGACAGTATCGACTTTTCGTTGTTTTTACCAGTGATACAAAAAATTTAATCCTGGTTTAACCAACAAGTGAACTCAGTTGGTTTTTCCATCTTTTCTTCTCTCCATTAATTTCTGGCCAACACCGTCATATTTTACTGACCGATCAAGCACACACTTGTGCAGCATTTCATAGATAATTTCAGAGCACTCGCAAATCAGTCAAAAAACTAACCTTGGATTTGTAATTCAGGATTGAAAACCACTAGACTTCAACTAGAAATCCGTGTCCACATCGTTAAACCAGTCTTTTTTATTCACCCGTTCGTTTGCTGATGTTGAAATCAGATTACCATCGTTGTTCTACAGACTCTTTTACATGAGATCATCCATCTAACAGTGAGGTAAACACATAAAGATATGTTCGTTTCAAGCCATGAAAATATATCAAACAATAGCTGTAGAGTAAGGATATTCCAAACATAGGGTGTGACCACATTTACTTGTCCCACTTTGTTACCTCCGTCCTCAACTATTTATTTATTTTTCCTTTCAAAGTTACCGCTGTCTACGAAAAAAAAAGCTTCCTGCACTATTTTAGACACTGTAATAAAGAATAAAAAAACAGAAAACATTTTTCAAGCATTTCTTCCACTTTTTTTTTCTTGCTGACGTACTTTTGCTGCTATTCAAAAAAAACTTGATTTTAAAAAAGTTTCAAATAAATTGTCGTTAAAACGACAGTCAATCCGCACCAGTTTGAAAAATCGTTTTTCATTGTTCAGGCCAAAAGTTTATAAAATTAAAAATCAACAATTCTTTTTTCTACATCCTTATACTGTTGTTTTCCTATCAAACTGTCAGAGTTTCAAGTATAAAATAAAAAATTAAGCTAAAAATTGCAAATGAGGGAACATCTTACATAGTTTTTGAACTGTTTAGCAAACGTAAAACAGTGAAGAAAAAAGAAAACAGCAACAACAATAGACAGAGAAAAATAAAAAGCTAAATGCTACAGTAGTGTCATATTCTTTGAAACTGACTCACCTAATCTTTTGACAGTGATTGATAAGAAGGAGAAATTAGGATAAGCCATAGCAGTACCCTACAAATATACAGCCACCAGACAACAGTAAAATTGAAATAAATGTAGACGACAAAAAAAAGAATATATTTTTTTTTTTAAACAGTAATTAGAAAACGTCTGCAGCGAATGCGAAAAAGTCCACCAACTGCCGATGAACAGATCATTTTTTGCTGTATGTATCGTCGGTTGTTATCCAACCGAAAAAAGAATTCATTTAACAACCCAATTACGGTGAAGACGACGATGAAGAAAACAACGAAAAAAACAATAGCACAAATGGAAACAAAAGTAAAAACATTAACAACCACGAAAGCAAAAAAAAAAAAAAAATAGTAAAAGGAAAGAAAGCGATAATAACTTATTGTATTTTTACT